AAAAACCTCCATGCACCTAGGCATGCAGACTGCTTCTACAAATATTTGCGAAAGAATGGATCGCTCTCAGGAGCTCAGTGACTCCAAGCGTGGTCCCGTGATAGGTTGCCACCTGTGCAATAAGTCCATCCGTGTGGGGTTGTTTTTCAGGGGTTGGATTTGGCCCCCTAGTTCCAGTAAAGGGAAATCTTAAGGCGTCAGCATACCAAGACATTTTGGACAATTTCATGCTCCCAACTTTGTGGGAAGAGTTTGGGGATGGCCCCTTCCTGTTCCAACATGACTGCGCACCAGTGTACAAAGCAAGGTCCATAAAGACATGGAGGAGCCAGTTTGGGGTGGAGGAACTTGACTGGCCTGCACAGAGTCCTGACCTCAACCCCATAGAACACCTTTGAGATGCGAGATCAGAGCCTGACCTCAAAATGCGCTTCTGGAAGAATGGTCAAACCTTCCCATAGACACCCTCCTAAACCTTGTGGACGGCCTTCCCAGAAGAGGTGAAGCTGTTATAGCTGCAAAGGACGGGGCCAACTCAATATTGAACCCTACGGACTAAGACTGGGATGCCATTAAAGTTCATGTGCGTGTAAAGGCAGGCCGACCAATACTTTTGGCAATATAGCGTACCATAGTTTGTAGACGCTAAAACATTCGTGTAAACCAAATCAATATACACTTATTGGGATTTTTTTCCCCAAAAAAAATGTAACAGAATACATTTTGGCCAAAATTTATGAACTTGATCTAAAAAAAATTTTTATTGCATATGTTTTATAGCACCAATTACAAAATATTGTTTGTTTTTCAAAATTTTCGGGCTTTTTTTTCGTTTGTAGCACAAAATAAAACCCCAGTGGTGATCAAATACCACCAAAGAAAAAAAAAAAATCTGTGGGAAAAAAATTACATAAATATAATTTGTATACAGTGTTGCATGATAACACAATTGCCAGTTAACCCCTTGCCTACCGGGCAATTCTACCCCCTTCCTTCCCACACCAATTTTCAGTGCTGTCGCACTTTGAATTACAATTGCGCGGTCATGCAACATTGTACTGACATGAAATTTTTTATTATTTTTTTCACACAAATAGAGCTTTCTTTTGGTGGTACCAAATTTTATACGTTATTCCTGTGAGCTACTATGGTGTATTTATTTTTAATGATAGGTGAATGAAAAATGTTTTATAAATAATGAGTGGCTAAATGAAAATAATTGGAATAAATTAATTACAATTTAAAATTTAAATTAAAATAAGTGGGTCGCCTACACTTATTCAAATACAAAATCACTTTGTGACACAAAGTAGTTATTTCTTTCGGTGGTATTTACTCGCTTGCTGGGTGTTTTATTTTTTTGCGCAATAAACAAAAAATTTGGAAAAAAAAAAAAGTTTTTCTTTGCTTCTATTATAACATTTTTCAAACAGGTAATTTTTCTCCTTCACTGATGTGCGTTGAAGAGGCTGCACTGATAGGCAGCACTGATGGGCACTGATAGGCAGCGTTGATGATGATCACTGACTGGCGGCACTGATGGGCACAGGTGGGTGGCACTGATCATCAGTGCCGATCCCTCCTCTGACAACTGCCGGTTCTCGGCAGTACCTTCCTCATGCTGCGATAGTGTGAGCAAAGTGCAGCCGATAACCGGCAATTGAATTTCCCGGTGATCAGTGTCTCATTGGACACGGCTGATCACGTGGTAAAGGGCCACTGTGATTGGCCTTTTACCATATCACATGATCAGCTGTGTCCGTAGGACACAGCGATCATGGAGATCGCTGGGTGCGTGCCCCTGGGGCACGCAGGAGAGCGCGTTCAGCGAGGACGTCATATGACGCCCTCCCAGAACTGGCCGGCCGCAGCGAAGTCATCATTCAGCTATCTGCGGTCAGCAAGTAGTTAAAGTAACTCCGTGCCAAAAAGCAAACAAATGGCATTCACATGAAGGAGGGTAAATCTTCTGGAGGGCAACTGGATATTGTATTGAATTTTACAGAATATCAGAGATTAAAAGCTGCAGATTAAAAAGGTAATGTTTAATAACATTCAATTACAATATGACTTGTGACACAATTAAATGTTCTGTACTTTTATTTTTTCTATTTTTTTTTCCCCCAATGAAAGTGGAGATACCCTCTAACAGGAGGAACGGGCTGCTTTCTGTAACCCCCCTATTGTCATGTGGCATTCTGCTCTGACCAGAGTTCTTCTTTAATAAACTAAACCTTGGAATATTAAAGCAGCAACAACAGTAATGAACAGTGATCTAGGCACAGAAAACACAACTGAATTCTCTGCCACACACCTCTCCATCACACCAGCTAGGTTTTATGAACAACTCAAACCCACGGCTGATGAAGTTTGATGTTGTACATACATTCTGTCTTGTTTATTCCAACCTCAGACTTGAGTCATGGTTCCAGAATGGAATGGGTTTCGTTTATGTCGGCAACACTGCAATCCACGTTTTCGAGCAACCAGCACCTGTCAGGATTCATGCCTCCCACTTTATCAAATTATATATAATTGAAGCAAATGTTGACGGAGCTTCTTGTAAAGTGTGGGATTTACAGGCCTGCAGACCTAAACTGAAAAACGCAGCTGCATTATTCAGCATATATTATAGAAGTAAAAGCTAATGGAAAGGAAATGGTTAGCACTTCCGTACTAGGGTCGTTGGTTCGAATCCCAACCGTGGCACCACCTGCCTAGAGTTTGCAAGATCTCCCTGTGCCTGCATGGGTTTCCTCCAGGTACTCCAGTTTCCTCCTACACTCCAAAGACATGCTGGTAGGTTCATTGGCTCCTGTCTAAATTGTCCCTAGTATGTGTATGTATGAATGTAAGTTAGGGACCTTAGATTGTACACCCCTTGAGGGTTAGGGACTGATGTGAATGTACAATATATATGTAAAGTGCTATGTAAATTGACGGCGCTATATAAGTACCTGAAATAAATGAAAAAATAAATAAATAATAATAAATGAAATCTTAACTTCTGTTATAGCGTGAACCTGTGCTCTGCCCATGGGGGGCAAAGAAACCACATTACAGCACATTCCCTGAATAGATTCCCCTTTCCCGGAATAGATTCCCCTTTCCCGGAATAGATTCCCCTTTCCCGGAATAGATTCCCCTTTCCCGGAATAGATTCCCCTTTCCCTTGCTTCTAGGGCTGAAACAAATTGATGAAAAAAGCTGTCAACTATTTTCATAAAATTGACTAGTTGGTCAATCAATTAGCTGGCCTGCATAGAGAATGCATGATTTGTTCACATATCAGAAAATACAGTGCAGCACACATTCAGCTCAGTACACCATTCACACGTTAGTAAGTGCCTGAGAACATGTGAATGTGTGAGTAGCAATGCCTCATGGGACATGTAGTCCTGGGCAGGATGAGAAAGTAATTCAAAAGGAAGACATTTTTTACCTTGCTATAGGGGCACTCTATACTATACTTTGTGGCTAGCTATAGGGGCACTTTGGAGGCAGGAGGAGACAGAAGCGTCAGCGGGGGACCCCAGAAGAGGAGGATCAGGACTGATCTGTGCAAAAACTCAGAGCAGGTAAGTGTGACATACTGGTTATTGGAAAAAAGAAAAATCCAATGTTTACTATCACTTTAAGAGCTCTGCGCAGGGAAGAACAGCATCTGAACCCAGAGAAGCTGGAGACTGATAGTCTGAAGGTAATATAACGTATTACAGTTAAATTATAAAAGTTTACCAGTATTGTGCATTATATTTAAAATAATTATGTCCATGCAAAAAAGTCTCAGCCTTTAGTACTAATTTAACAGAAAAGATTTATAATCCACCCATATATACATATATATATACACACACACACACACACAGGGACACCTGCCTTTACACGCACATGAACTTTAATGGCATCCCAGTCCTAGTCCGTAGGGTTCAATATTGAGTTGGCCCCGCCCTTTGCAGCTATAACAGCTTCAACTCTTCTGGGAAGGCCATCCACAAGGATTAGGAGGGTGTCTATGGGAAGGTTTGACCATTCTTCCAGAAGCACATTTGTGAGGTCAGGCACAGACGTCGGACAAGAAGGCCTTTTGTATTACTCAAATCACACCGAACCGAAAAGGTAAAGGACCCTTTTTCTGGTCCGCACTAGAATCGGATTGCATGGGTATTCACACCCATGCAATCCAATTCTGCACTTCGCACTGCGTTTTGCAAACCAATTTCGGGGTGTTAACTTAGCATCGGTTTGCATGAGTGGGGTGCGATTGTGGTGCGGTGTGGAATTCACACAGAAACCGGTGCAAATTCCGCACCGCATCAGTGCGAACGGAGGCCAATATAACATTATGCGCGACAGACTCCCTTGTCATAGGAAGGTGACTTGATACAAGCCAACTGTGCCTGCTGTCACTTGTGCTGGCCATACACAACCAAATTTCCCTTTAAAGCATATTTGTTTTAAAAATGTTCATTCAACTTTCTAATCGTTAGCGGGGTCAAATCGATGTTCGTTTTCAACTACAGTGACAGGAAAATTTGAAGGAATGAATTTTCCGACAGTGTATGTAGTTTTTATTCATATACATTAATTTTAAAATTGAAAGTTAAAAGCAAGTGAAATGTTGGGGTTAAAAGAAAAAAATTTCCCATAATAATTCAAAAACAGCAGATAATCACTACTATAAAGGGTTAATTTATACTGTCAAACAGGGAAAGTAATAAAATATTTATATACACGATATTGTCAAAAGTATTGGGCCAGCCCTCCAAATCATGTGATTCAGATGTTCCAATCCCCTCCATGGCCACAGATGTATAAAATCAAGCACTTAGATATGCAGACTGCTTCTACAAACATTGGTGAAAGAATGGGTCGCTCTCAGGAGCTCAGTGACTCCAAGCGTGGTCCCGTGATAGGTTGCCACCTGTGCAATAAGTCCATCCGTGACATTTCCTGGCTACTAAATATTCCACGTTCAACTGTTAGTGGGGTTATAACAAAGTAGAAGCAACTGGGAACAACAGTAATTCAGCCACAACGTGGTAGGCCACGTCACATGACAGAGCGGGGTCAGCGGATGTTGAAGCACACAGTGCGCAGAAGTCACCAACTGTCAATAGCTAAAGACCTCCAAACTTGGTGAGGCCTTCAGATGAGCACAACAGTGAATAGAGAGCTTCATGGAATGGGTTTCCATGGTGGAGCAGCTGCATCCAAGCTTTACATCACCAAGTGTAATGCAAAGCGTCGGATGCAGTGGTGTAAAGCACGCCACCACTGGACTCTAGAGCAACGGAGACATGTTCTCTGGAGTGACAAATCACGCTTCGCTGTCTGGCAATCTGATGGACATGTCTGGGTTTGGTGGTTCCCAGGAGAATGGTACTTGCCTGATTGCACTGTGCCAAGTGTAACATTTGGTGGAGGGGGGATTATGGTGTGAGGTTGTTTTTCAGGGGTAGGGGTTGGGCTTGGACCCTTAGTTCCAGTGAAGGGAACTCTTAAGGATTCGCCATACCAAAACATTTTGGACAATTTCATGCTCCCAACTTTGTGGGAAGAGTTTGGGGATGGCCCCTTCCTGCTCCAACATGACTGCGCACCAGTGCACAAAGCAAGGTCCATAAAGACATGGAGGAGCCAGTTTGGGGTGGAGGGACTTGACTGGCCTGCACGGAGTCCTGACCTCAACCCCACAGAACACCTTTGGGATGAATTAAAGTGGAGACTGCAAGCCAGGCCTCCTCCCCCGACATCAGTGCCTGACCTCATAAATGTGTTTCTGGAAGAATGGTCAAACCTTCCCATAGACACCCTCCTAAACCTTGTGGACAGCCTTCCCAGAAGGGTTGAAGCTGTTATAGCTGCAAAGGGCGGGGCCAACTCAATATTGAACCCTACGGACTAAGACTGGGATGCCATTAAAGTTTATGTACATGGAAAGGCAGGCCGACCAATACTTTTGGCAATATAGTGTATGTAATAAGTACAGTATGTACTGTATATATGCATGTATGTGTGTACATATTACATACACACAAAGTAAAAAGAATATGAGTTTCAAAAACATCTTACATATGTAAAAAATAAATACTGACAGAAAAGCATTACATTTTTCCATTAGGAGCATGAGTTAGATAACCACATATGTATATCCGGCCATTTAACTATGAACAGATCAGCGGTTATCTGACACAATATTCATCTCCCTAACAACCAAGCCTGGTGCGATATGAGGATGTTCTTAACTATTTAAGGCCCTGCAAGTAACTGCCATGAGTGAGAGCGTTCGTAGTACATTGGCTAAAAACAGTTGTCACCAACATGTCCACAATTCTGTTATGACTGACAGTGGTCTTCAGCTGTCCTACGTTCAACTCTATGATGAATGGAGCCTCATACAAAGCATATCAATTACAAGCATAGGCATCACATACACAACGTGGGAGACCTGAGCCAACATCCACTGCATCCAAGCAAGCCATTACATATCAAGGACAACAGCTCAATGGTCTATGACAACGAACTTGCTTTTGACAACAGTTTGAGTTGCTTCTGAGATCATTTAGAATTAATAACAGGAGCGTCTGACCTGCAGTAGGCCTCCTCCTGACCTGCAGGGAACCACGTCCTGACCTGCAGAGAGACCTCCTCCTGAGCTACAGGGAACCACGTTCTGACCTGCAGAGAGACCTCCTCCTGACCTGCAGAGAGACCTCCTCCTGACCTGCAGACAGACCTCCTCCTGACCTGCAGACAGACCTCCTCCTGACCTGCAGAGAGACCTCCTCCTGACCTGCAGAGAGACCTCCTCCTGACCTGCAGAGAGGCCTTCAAGCTGCTTATTTCTTGTCATAAACGTGTAAATGAAGAGAAGCCGTTCCAATGTGATCAAACGCCTGTCAACAAAGTTCCTAAAGCTACCACATTCGGGGCTGGACACATGATGATCTCATATCTTCATTCCCAGGAAACTGGGAATGAAACAACATCTCTAACCCAGACTGATTAACAATGTAGACATTATGTTTAATTTCTATAACAAAAGCACAAAACTGATGCACACAAAAACATAATATCCACCAAAACAAGGGAAGCACTCACAAGCCAGTTAGTCCAGTCCAAGAGCCCGTAGGCATTTTCAAAGTTCTCATAATATGCATTTGGAGCCAAGTGGGCTGTTGCTTTAACCTTTTTAGACTGAACTCGTTTCTCAAACTTGCAAACAGTACCTTAGGAAACCATCACTGTACAGCATACCTGTTAGGAGAGAAGAATGTTGGCTGCCACTACTGGTCGCTTATCAAAAATGCCAATTTCCTGGCTAAAAGCCCAACCCTAGCCATTATACTTTTTTTTTTTTTTTTTATGCAGAAAAGGATTAAAACCTATAACATATTTGTATTGCCTACTGGGGTCCTGCTGTAAAGAGTTGGATTTCCTTATCTCTATACTTCTTTCTGGACAGTGGCTAACCAACAATCTCAAAAGGGAAGATCAACATCAGCATTACACAAAATTCTCATGTACCTCCAGTATACATAGAGAAAACATTGGTGTACATTTTGGTGCAGAACCTACAACCTCCAGGTAAAACCATCTGAAATGTTGGGAACCAATTCTGAGCCCTCAATTAATCCAGCTGATGTAATGGACCCCGCGTGAAGCCTACCGGCGCAAGGGACCCCGCGTGGAGCCTACCGGCGCAAAGGACCCCGCGTGAAGCCTACCGGCGCAATGGACCCCGCGTGAAGCCTACCGGCGCAATGGACCCCGCGTGAAGCCTACCGGCGCAATGGACCCCGCGTGAAGCCTACCGGCGCAATGGACCCCGCGTGAAGCCTACCGGCGCAATGGACCCCGCGTGAAGACTATTGGCGCAATGGACCCCGCTTGAAGACTATTGGCGCAATGGACCCCGCTTGAAGACTATTGGCGCAATGGACCACGCTTGAAGCCTACCTGCGCAATGGACCACGCTTGAAGCCTACCTGCGCAATGGACCACGCTTGAAGCCTACCTGCGCAATGGACCACGCTTGAAGCCTACCGGCGCAATGGACCACGCTTGAAGCCTACCGGCGCAATGGACCACGCTTGAAGCCTACCGGCGCAATGGACCACGCTTGAAGCCTACCGGCGCAACGGACCGCACCTGAAGCCTACCGGTGCAACGGTCCGCACCTGAAGCCTACCGGTGCAACGGACCGCACCTGAAGCCTACCGGTGCAACGGACCGCACCTGAAGCCTACCGGTGCAACGGACCACGCTTGAAGCTTACCGATGCAACGGACCACGCTTGAAGCTTCCCGGTGCAATGGACCACGTTTGAAACCTGCCGGCACAACGAACCACGCTTGAAACCTACCGGTGTAATGGACCATGCTTGAAGCCTACCGGTGTAATGGACCAGGCTTGAAGCCTACCGGTGTAATGGACCACCCACGAAGGCTACATCACAACAAAGTAGGTATTCCCTGAACATTATCGGTAGATAACGGACCACGCTTGAAGCCTACCGGTGTAATGGACCACGCTTGAAGCCTACCGGTGTAATGCAAAGTCACGTACCATAGACGTCAACGCAAAAAAGCCCCCTAGTGACTTCAATTCAAAATCGTGTCACATAGACTTCAATGTAAAATCACGTCCCCATAGACTTCAATGCATAAACACCCGCTAGTGACTTCAAAGCAAAAACACCAGCCACACTAATTACATTTTTTTTTTTAATTTAAAAAAAAAAAAAAAAAGCTGTCCATATCGGTTTTCAGCCAATTGCATCCTGAAGTTTCAGTATCGGATTTTTCATTTTGGTGGACCACTACAACAAAAGTGAGGTGACTATCATGAGATAGCACTCCAATAATATTATCTATTTCAAATCAATATGGTGGTCAGTTCAGCAGGGATAGCCCCGTCTACTGCCCAGAGAAAGCAACCTATATGTGGCCACACATGCTTGCAGTCAAAACGGCAGGATTGGGTGTGTTTATGACAGGAGATATTCTTTAACGCAAGATATCAATGAATGATCAAAGATGTGGTCTTCTCCCAGTAAGTGTTCATCCTATAGAGGTGAATGAGGAACAGTCATTGCTATAAAATAGTGATAAATCAAATAGAAGCCCTAACGCGCGCACGTATGCACGCGCACACACACACACGTATTATTTAACATTCAGTTTATTGTTGTAACTACAAATCTGTGCAACTGCTGTTCATCAATAAGAGGTTTGAAAACCTTCTATGATCAACTTTACAGAACAAATCTTTATGGAATACATAGCAGGTCTGTGCACTGCCATCACCATTCAAGTGTCCTCAGCTACACTGAATATGTATTATTAGAAGGTTAAGAACTCAAAATCTCAACGGAAAAAGCAAATGGACCACTAAAAAGCTCTAAATATACCCTGGTATCAATTCTTTCTGGGTGGCTATTATGGAAGCGAACTGCTCTCAGACTCCAAACGCCTGGAGAGGTGTCTACAGGCCGTATGTCAGAATGACTGACAGCAGCTCAGAGTAGCACAGAGGCAGGGAAGCCTGGTGGGTTTGCTAAAATCTGCCTGAGGGCCGGGGTCAGTAGGGAGCCCCATGAGATGCCCCTGCTCAGAGTAGCACAGAAGCAGGGAAGCCTGGTGGGTTTGCTAAAATCTGCCCGAGGGCCCGAGGTCAGTAGGGGGCCCCATGAGATGCCCCTGCTCAGAGTAGCACAGAAGCAGGGAAGCCTGGTGGGTTTGCTAAAATCTGCCCGAGGGCCCGGGGTCAGTAGGGGGCCCCATGAGATGCCCCTGCTCAGAGTAGCACAGAAGCAGGGAAGCCTGGTGGGTTTGCTAAAATCTGCTATAGCGGAGTCACTGCAACACACATCTGCTAATAACTGGTGAAGAGTTTCAATACAGTCAAGCCATCACTTTGAGGATAAAAAAAGTTAACACCAGAAAGAATGTGGTATTTGAAGATTAACAGCATTCACAGCTGCTTATCAATGTGGGGTTTTCCAAATATCTTACATTATTTACCCTTTTTACTATGAATATACAGAACAAGCATCCCCCGCTGGGTGTAAATGTATCCCGAGTGCCCTATTAAGTGTGCACATATTTTCCCATTACCTTCTAAGCAATGCCTAATGGTTTCAAAATACCTAAAATAGGTCAGTTTATTTTTATTAAGATTCTGTATTGAAACTAAACAGGTTTTGTTTTTTAAAGCCCAACTTCGGGAGTTACAAAATTACCACTGAAATGGGGCCCTCCCTTTATTGCGAGGCTTATATGTGTGGTGAAGTAAAGTAAAGTGGTACTAGAAACTTTTTTTTACCTTAAATTTATTTCCCAGCATTAAGGTAAAAAATAAATAAATAAATAAAAAACAAACACACAACACCCCACTACCCGTTCCCCCCCCGTCCCAAAATACATACTCGACTCCTCTGCCACTCCAGCGCTGTGCTACTCTCTTACTGGTCTCAAAAGGACACACTGAGTGCAGCAAGTGCCATTGGCTCCTGCTGCTGTCCGTCAAATCAGTAAGGGAGGAGTAGCCATGTTGTGTGTGTGTCTATGGATGCACACAGCCCAGCTTAGGATTGCTCCTACACACGGGTGCCCCCACAGCAGCCAGCGTGCTGAGGGGACACCTGCAGGAAGGAGGAGCAGACAGCATTGGGGGGAGGTAAGCCACCACTTCCACAGCATTATCACCTCTCATAATTTTTTTTTTTTAAAAGTAAAAAAAAAGTTTAGTATCACGTCAAGACAAAAAATGGTTTGTTTGGGAGGAATTAAAACCCCTGCCAGATTTTCATTTGCTCCGTGTTCCATTGGGGAGATTTCTCTTCACTTTCGGTCACAGAGCAACAGCAGGAAGTGAGAGATAATCCCTGGTCGTCATAAGGATCATCAAAATTAGGGTCCCCATCAGAAGAGTTCCCCTCCATCCCGTTCAAACACCTGTAAAAGCGGTGTTTTTAACATCCTGTGTGCTTGAGCCCTAAAGTGGAACTTTAATGCACCACAAATTTAAAACACTATTTAATAATAAAAGCAAACACCCGCATCCATCCATGACTCCATGCTTTATTTTTTAGAGCTATAACTTGGAACTCCCCCTCTCCCCACCCATCCTCAGCATGTGTAGCAGAGGCCATCGTGAGTAAGGGCAGATCATTCAAGTAGCATTCAGGGGCGGACTGACCATTTGGAAATGCGGGCACTGCCCGAGGGCCAGGGGTCAGTAGTGGGCCCCATGAGATGCCCCTGGTACCTTTTTTCATAGGCTTTTTTGAGTTTGGGGCAAGGACACAGGGGCCCCATGATCCCCTATTACCCGGGGGCCCCATGAGTTGTCGATCTGCCCCTGGTAGCATTTACTTCCTGGAAACCATCTGCCCTTAGCTCAGTTGTGCAGGCTGGAATGTGTGCTTAGCTGAGAAATCCCCTCCTCTCCTTCAGATGAAAGAAAAAAAAACTGCCATGAATACTTATGGAATCTATAACATCATTTTAGCCTAGGCCAGGAACCATGAAGCAACTGAAAAAAAAAAAAAATCAATAAAAGCTTAAACCAAGTAAATAGCATAAGAAGCAGCATAAGAAGTAAAGATAGTTCATGTTGATTGAGAGAGTTAAATTTAGCTTTAAGTATCTGAATGTGACCCAGGGTGAGCCTTTTTCCACCCCTTGTACAGCAGAGCTCATACTTTGTCAGGGAGAAACAGGACATGAGAGCCAATCAGGTGTGCTGCATTGCAAGAAGTATGCTGATAGAAAGCGAGAGCAGAGTGACAGAGAGAAGAGCTCATCAGATTGCTCATTCCCCCTTCACTGTCCAGTGACAGGCTGAGGAGGAGCACCACCTCTAAGTGTAACTGCAGGGGAGAAATAAATCAGGTCTTAAAGTGGAGTTCCAGCTGAAAATAAATAAATAAAAGTCAGCAGCTCCAAAAACTGTAGCTACTGACTTGTAAAATACACCCACTTACCTGTCCCTCAGTCCAGTGCTGTCCTCACCATGGCTGGTTTCACTGGCTGGCTTCTCTCCCTGGCGCCGGCATCTTCAGTTTGGGCATCCGGCTGTGACAGCTTGCGGCTTCACAGCCGGGTGCTCACTGCGCATGTGCGAGAAGCGCTGCACTTTGTGAATGGCCTCATAGTCTTCTGGGATCCGTTACGTGTCCCAGAAGACTACGGGGAGGGAGTGACGGCGGGGAAGGACAACTTCCGCTTCTGAACGCCTAGGCGATCACAGGTGCCAAACCTCAATGGGGAGCAGGGGACAAAGCATTAACCTCCCTAGCGGTATTCCCGAGTGTAGCTCGGGGTAAAGTTTCAGTACCAAAAGCGGTATCCCCGAGCTACACTCGGGCTTACCATGCGGCATTGCTCAGGGATTCCCTGCAGCACTTACTTTGTCCTTCGCTCCCGCGATGTGTCCCCTGCAGCGTCCCCGGCCATCTCCTCTGGCCGATGCCGGCATCCGGCTTCCGTGTTCCGGTCCCTGTGACGTCGGGACGTACGTGCGCTGGAACCGGCGGCAAATTTGAAATTTTTAAAAAATTTCATTTTTTTTTTAAATGATTATTACATAGTAAAACATTACTGTTTCAATGCATTTCACATACATTTTGTCCCGAGTGCTTTGTCCTGTGCCCTGTCTGCATTTTGACTGTTCTTTCTGCCTGGAAACTTAGAAAAGTCCATGGCGTCCAAAAAGCGTCCCTTTACGTCAAAAGCGGTTTTAAACCGGCTAAAGAACAGCGATAGTAAATCAGAACCACTTGCAGAATTGAGTGATGATTTGTGGGGAAATTTGTCATCAGACACTGAAAACGATTCTGCGACTTTGCTCAGAGATGTGCGAACTTGGCGCTATATTTCAAATTTCAGTGTTTTTGGTTTGATTATATTATTGAATTAAATTTATTATCATATTATTTTTTATGATTATTTATTAAATTATAATTTATGATTTCATGTTTCAAATTTTATCATATCCGGAATGTTTACTAGACTCTTGTTCGGACAGATTTCAGTGAGTTATTCCTAAAAATTACAGCCTACAATAAAAAACTACATATTTCCATGCAAAAAAAGGTACCGATTTCAGCACCAAAAATCTGAAATAATCAGACTGCCGAGGAGGTTAAAACGGAACTTCCCCTTTTAGGTGGAGCTCTGCTTTACGTCCTGCAAGACAGTGTGTAGCAAAGATATATATATTTCAGGACTGGATGGACAAATATACATATCCCAAACTAACACAGCAATTTTGACAAAGGAGCATCGTACGAGCCTCTGAGACTCATCCACCAGGGCACGTGTCAAATACTATTGGTCTAAGCTCTTCCATTTACAGGCAATCCATTCCATCTCAGATTGTAAACACTTCTCTGAAAAGCACAGGGTTCAGCAAACATTTTACAAAGCATTTCAGAAGCTTTAAAACAACATTAGAACCCACAAAAGAGGAGATGAAGGAGGCTTGAAGCTTGGGAAATTCTCTATGAGTTCCTGTTTGAATTCATTAATCATCAAACCAGCATCCACAAAATATGTGTCGTCTTTGTCTAGGTGTACTACAGGGATGCTGGGAATGTGGAAAGCTTCTGGACAACTGATGAAACTAAAAATCCGTAATTGTTCAAGGACCCTTCGATGCTGGAGGCAACGTGACTCTCTGAAGTCTTTTTTATCTTCAAAAAGTTGCAGTTTTCCGATTGTGGCTATAGTATTATGTTGGTCTCCTATCTTATTTTATTATTTATTTCAGGTACGTACAGTATATAGCACCGTCAATTTACACAGCACTTTACATATATATTGTACATTCACATCAGTCCCTAACCCTCAAGAGGCGTGCAATCTAAGGTCCCTAACTCTCAAGGGGCGTGCAATCTAAGGTCCCAAACTCTCAAGGGGCGTGCAATCTAAGGTCCCAAACTCTCAAGGGGCGTGCAATCTAAGGTCCCAAACTCTCAAGGGGCGTGCAATCTAAGGTCCCAAACTCTCAAGGGGCGTGCAATCTAAGGTCCCAAACTCTCAAGGGGCGTGCAATCTAAGGTCCCAAACTCTCAAGGGGCGTGCAATCTAAGGTCCCTAACTCTCAAGGGGCGTGCAATCTAAGGTCCCTAACTCTCAAGGGGCAAGCAATCTAAGGTCCCTAACTCTCAAGGGGCGTGCAATCTAAGGTCCCTAACTCTCAAGGGGTGTACAATCTAAGGTCCCTAAACTCACATTCATACATATACATCCTAGGGCCAATTTTAGACAGGAGCCAATTATCCTAACAGCATGTTTTTGGAGTGTGGGAGGAAACCCATGTAACCAGAGGAAACCCACGTAGGCACAGAGAGAATATGCAAACTCCAAGCAGGTGATGGCATGGTTGGGATGCGAACCAATGACCCTAGTACTACCAGGCAGAAGTGCTAACCATTTAGCCACTGTGCTTTTAATTTCAAACGGTCATACAGACATTAACAGACCCGGTGTAAACAGGCCAATATTCCCATAGGTGAAATGCCGCACGCCCGTGACTATGGGGTCAATTTACAAAGCAGAGCAGAGATCACTCTGTACTGGACACTAGGGTTGCAGCGATACCGGTGCCAATACTAAGCATTTGCACAACTACTAGTACCCATACAAATGCTTTGATACCTGAAACCAATACCTCTACGGTGCGATTTGAGCCCATACAAAATGAATGGGCTCAGATCACACTGCAGAGAATTGATGCGATTTGAACAGCAAAGTGGTGCGATTCCTGTCCGACTCACATGCAGTTTCCTCCACAGCTCCTGTACGAACCCAGGCTTGCCATAGTGACTTCAGCCGCGGTTCACACAGGAGTGGTGCGAAAAACCACATGCAATTTGTACAGGAATCGCACTGTATTACACTACAGCTGCTTATCAAGTGGCTTTTATCCAATGGGGCGGTTAAACAGAAGTTGATTGGTAAATAGATTTCTGTTCAACTGCAGTGGCCAAACATGGATTGAGATTCAGCCCGGTCCCTGTTGAGTCAGCCAAATTTTAATCCATCTATGGCCACCTGAAGAATGTACAGTGGGGATCGAAAATTTGGGCACCCCAGCTAAAAATGTGTATTAATGTGCATAAAGAAGCCAAGGAAAGATGGAAAAATCTCCAAAAGGCATCAAATTACAGATTAGACATTCTTATAATATGTCAACAAAAGTTAGATTTTATTTCCATCATTTACACTTTCAAAATAACAGAAAAAAAAAAAATGGCGTCTGCAAAAGTTTGGGCACCCTGCAGAGTTAATATCTTGTACTGCCCCCTTTGGCAAGTATCACAGCTTGTAAATGCTTTTTGTAGCCAGCCAAGAGTCTTTCAATTCTTGTTTGAGGTATCTTTGCCCATTCTTCCTTACAAAAGTCTTCCAGTTCTTTGAGATTTCTGGGCTGTCTGTCACACACTGCTCTTTTAAGGTCTATCCATAAATTTTCAATTATGTTGAGGTCAGGAGATTGTGAAGGCCATGGCAAAACCTTCAGTTTACGCCTCTTGATGTAATCCCCCGTGGATTTCGAGAAGTGTTTAGGATCATTATCCATTTGTAGAAGCCATCCTCTCTTTAACTTCAGCTTTTTCACAGATGGCATCAAGTTACCATCCAAAATTTACTGAAATGTTATTGAATCCATTTTTCCTTCTACTCATGAGATGTTCCCTGTGCCACTGGCAACACAACCCCAAAGCATGATTGATCCAACCCCATGCTTAACAGTTGGACAGAGGTTCTTTTCATTAAATTCTGTGCCCCTTCTTCTCCAAACGTACCTTTGCTCATTCTGGCCAAAAAGTTCAATTTTAACCTCATCGGTTCACAGAACTTGTTTCCAAAATGCATCAGGCTTGTCTATATGTTCATTTGCAAAGTTCAAACGATGATTTTTGTGGTGAGGACGTAGAAGAGGTTTTCTTCTGATGACTCTTCCATGAAGACCATATTTGTACAAGTATCTCTTTATAGTGGAATAGTGTACCACAACTCCTGTGTCTGCCAGATCTTTCTGGAGGGATCGTGCAGTCAAACGTGGGTTTTGAATTGTTTTTCTCACAATCCTGCGAGCTGTTCTGTCTGATATTTTTCTTGGTCTTCCAGATTTTGCTTTAACTTCCACTGTTCCCGATGACTGCCATTTCTTAATTACATTCCGAACAGAGGATATTGACATCTGAAAACGCTTTGCTATCTTCTTATAGCCTTCTCCAGCTTTGTGAGCGTCAACTATTTTCAGTTTCAGTTTTCTAGACAACTGCTTAGAAGAACCCATGGTGCTGATTGTTGGGCAAGGTCAGATGAGTCTGGGCATTTAAAACCTTTGAG